TACTTGTGTGAATTCAACGACGAAACGACGGAACTAAAAATAAACCCGCGGGGTCTTGTTCCTTTTTTTTTCCTTCAAATTTCTTGAGCAATATCAGCGAGGTTTCTGTATGGTTTCTGTGTGAGGAAATTTTGGCCGAAAGGAAAGGTCTTGACATTTCGTCTTCCGATGAGTTCAACCGACTTTGCGTGATTCATCTTGTCGGGATTAAGCGCTTGTATAGGATTGCTTGTGTGGTGGAATGCTTCCCTTCGTTACGGTCAAAATTAGGATGCACATCTCTTTTCTTGGGTGAAACGATTTCGAGATAACGAAAATCAAGACCTGCTATTTCCTCGGGCAAGTTTCGTCGAGCCTCGAACTTCGAAAAAATTCTGGGATATACTGCAGACATGTGCGTGTTCAGGTCAATGACGCATATTTCTTGAAAATTCTCAAGATTATTAGACTGAAACGTTTTCCTCGGAAATGCGGCAGAATCTTGATTATCAAGACAAAAGACATCAATTATCTAAATGACGAAATATGTCACCATTTCCGAATACCGAAGAAAATTTCAAGGGCAAAGAAGTCGTAAATGTAACAACAGCCGTGGTATCGTCAACATTTCCGCAAATATAAAATAACAGGAAATTTCTCAGATTTCCTCATAAACCTGTCTAGAAAGCAGCATGCTATATTCAACTGCTTGCTTCTTGAGAAATTTGGTATTTTATTTCCCGATAATTTCTCTTTTTTGTGCGAGTTTATCGTCTATAGAATCGTGAATCTTATTTTTAATGGCGGTAATTTTCCAGCACAAAGGATAAAAGTAGATCCGAGGGAAATCAAGATGTTGAAACATGAAACGTGGAATTCCAGATTCTCTGAGTGAATTGAACGCTAAATTCAAACATTTGAAACCCATATTTAAATCATTTAAAATAGAAGTCACATTTTCAATTATGGACAGCCATTTAACAGGTGATCAAATATAATAGTGTAATGGATTCTATTACACTTGAGCCTTGGTGACTTGAACCTCCATGAGTCAAATGCCTCCCATAAATCCTTTTTTTTTTGTCCCTGTCTGAATTCTCTCATAGAGCAATGCATAAGAAACCTTCATAACTTCAGGGCTTTTCCTCTTAAACCTCCGTAAGTTGAATTTTCTTAAGCCTTTTGGCTATTATTTTCTTGACATGCACCAGGAAGAAAGAAGCAATAAAAAAGTTAAGAAGGTGTTTTGAAAATAAATGAAAGACTAATTGGGCAAATAAACCCTTGCCTCCAAGTTCAGCATCCTGTCAACTCATTTAAGAAGCAATTTAAGGTCCAGAATATTACCATTTACAATTTCCTGGAATCCTTTTATATGATTCCAATACCAAGAAATGCGTGTTTCCCCGACTCAAAACCTCCCTCAGTCAATTTATTTGCTGGTCCCTTGAAATTTGACTTGGGGAGGTTCAAATTTAAATAAATTCCACGGAAAAGAGAGCAACCAGAAATTATTATCAACTTCCTCAAAATGGTTGTAGCATATTTTAGGCCGGATCACTGACCTAAGTAAGGGATGATAAGTAAGGGGGAATAAAGTGGCTTGTTAAAATATAAATGCATACATATGGCTATGTTTCTTCTTGACAAATTTAAATTGAAGTTCAATGGATTCCAAATTGATCTTAGCTCGGAGTTCTCTTTTATACTGTACACGGATATCATCGCATGTTCCCGTTTTGATGCAATATCACAAAAGACACTCTCCAGTCACAACATTTATATTCTGTGGCCTCTCATCGCAAGTACGCTTTCGAGACTTGACCGGAGGCAGTGAGCTACTGAGATGAAACATATTTGGTTCAGTCCTGAAGTATCTGGAGCGAATATCCGACGCATGGACTTATAAACAAAGCTCGAAAGTTTCTTTTCCTACCGACAGCTGACGACTGCGGATAAAATATGTGTGTTGTAAGCTGGACTGCTGGTAGTTGGGCTGGAGGAAGAGGAAACACGGGACTATATCGAACGGATTGTCGCGAAACATTGTCATGCCTCGTCGGTAGTCATGACTGGCACGATACGTTTTCACGGCGACCTTCGAGCCGCCGTGTGGACGCCGGCAAGTACACGACATTTCAATTCCCCCGCTCTCGGATGTTTGAATTATGCGTTGGGTCTTGCATAAAATATCGTTCAGAGTTGAAGGAAAATATTGTCGCGAGTGCATTCACTCGCTCGATCCGGAATTTCTCTCCTGTCGCGGATCTTTAAAAAAATATTCTGTAAATGTTGATCATCAGCCGAATAATGAATTTATTTTTCTCCAATATCTTCTTCTCTAGTTTCCAATCAATTGTGATTTTAAATGCATCGCGGATCCGATTAACGTAAGGTATGACAGGTTATATATTCTTTGAATTCGGGGAGGCGAGAAATTTGGAAAGAACCCCCGAAGCCCGTATGAGCAACAATAAGAAACGCGGAACCCGAGGGGCACTGACTCGGAATGCGGACCGATTCTAATCAATCCACTTCAGATCCTGTCGACTCATAAGTCCGTATTTTCGTCCATTATATTTATAAATATACATTTGTGTCTTGAGAAAAAAAACATTTTGTAATGCGCTTCGCAGAAGTTTATGTTCCACGTAAGAATGAATAAATGCAAATTTATGCGAGATTTTAATCACAAACTCAACATTAAAAAGGGCCTTGAGTTTGAAAATCTTTTCATGTTATGACGGTTTTAATTTGTGAGCACACATATATTTTTTCGTGTTTGAATATCTTTTATAAGAAAATTGGTTCGGAATAATTTGAAGCCCTTGCGGTTTTTCTTAGCTTCCAGTTCGGCTAAGTTTCTTATTCTCAATTTATTGTTTGCCTTATTTTTCCTGCTGGCCACAGCGTACTTCACCATCAGGGGATGGAAAGGATGTAAAAGCTGATGTTTTTTAAGCCGCAGTAGACATAAAACTTGTGATGCCGTCATTTCAAAAAAAAGAAATCCACAAAATTTACGATTTCTTCTAGAAGTACTGCCGCAGTTCAATGCGATAGCAATTTGAAGCAGTCAAAACATACTGCGTTAAAATATGCCCCAAAGACCTTTTCTACTAAAGCATAGGTTGGTGCAGTATTTTCCTTTCTCGGACACTTTCACCTTGACAGTGTTTCTGAATCCACATACCAAGAAAACGCGTTTTTTATAGTACAATTAGAAGCATATGCTTTCATTGACAGTAGTTGGATGTGTGTGGGTCTTTCGGGAGACTCACTTCCAGACAAGGTGGTGGGTGTACGAGATTGTTATTTGCATATGCGCACAAGCATGGCCACCCAAGTGCGAATCAGCTGATAGCTTCTGGTATTTCTTTCTGCGTCATATTTTAACAAGTGAGCATTGCAGCTGTAAATCTTGAGCACAATTCAGCAGTGACTTTTAACCTTGCGCATAACTGACAACATTTTTCTACTGCTTTAATTCAACCCATTTTAATTGTTTTTTGCTTTTTCTTTGCTCAAAAACGTTTGTTATGCATAGACAAGGCAGAAAAAAGGAGGTCCGGAATGTGATGTATTCTTGACAAGGGCTCTGCCAAAAAATTTTAACATAAAAAGGGGGCCTTTAATCGAGAATTAAACGGACAACGAAAATTATAAAAATGGTACCTAATTTGAGCCAGGAGAATGACGGAGTACTGTACCGAGAATAAGCCGAGTGACTCAAATGAGCCAGGTAGGTTTATACTTGTCCCTCGTTCAAGAGTGTTTGCGAGGCATAAGTTTGGCCGAAAAGGAGGGCCCGCAAGAAAATCTTGACAGGAGCTTCGAGGAAGAAATTTATCCCAAAAAGTGCTATATACAGTTTAAAAAATATTCATGAATACAATGGACGCCGGGACTTGGAAACGTGTACCTAATTCTAGCGAGGAAAATGACCGAGTCCCAAAAAGCTGAGTGACTCACGTTAGCCAGGTATGTATATGCGTGTCCTGTGCTAAAAAATACATTGCAAGTTTAAGCTTGGACGAAAAAAGGGGCGCGCAATAAAATGTATTCTTGACAGGGACTTCACCAAAGAAATGTATCAAAAAAAAACAGTATCTTTGATCTAGGAATGTACCACTAATGAGTGCACCGACAATTGGAAAAAGTTTAGCAAATTCTAGCCAGAAAACTGACCGAAACCCGAAAACCTGGATGTCTCAGATGAACCAGGTTTGCTATTTATACTTTTTCTTTTGTTCAAAAACGTTTACCCGGCACATGAGCTTTGCCGAAAAAGAGCGTCCGCAAAAATTGTATTCTTGTCGGCCTCCGCGCCAAAGAAATACATAACAAAAATTGCTTTATTGCATTAAAAAACTATTTGCCAATGAATAAATGGACGTCGGGAATTGGAAAACGTGTGGCTAATTATATAGCCAGGAAAATGACGAAGTCCCGACCGAGTGACTCAGATTAACCATCAGGTAGATTTTTAATTTTTCTCTGCTAAATTAAAATGTATTTTGAGGCTTGCCCGAAAAAGGGACCCAAGATAAAATTTATTTTTGACAGGGGCTCCACCAAAGAAAAGTGTCACAAAAAGTAGTCTCTCCTGTTGAGCAACTTTTCGCTAATGAATAAATGGACACCGAAAATTAGAAAACGTGTGGCTAATTCTGGCCAGAAAAATACCCAAGTCCCAAGAAGCTAAGTGAGTAAAGTGACTAAGATTAACCTGACACGTGTATACTTTAACTTTACAAAAAAAAATTTCGAGGCATAAGCTTGGCCGAAAAATGGGGTCCGCAATAACACGATGCGTATTCTTGACAATATCTCCGCCAAAAAACAATTCGTCAAAAAAATTTCGTCTCCTCATGGTTGAGGAACTATTCGCTAATGAATAAATGGACTTGGGGGAATTGGAAAACGTGTAGCTAATTCTGGCCAGGAACGAGTCCCGAGGAAGCCGAGCGACTATATGGGCAACACGCGTGCTTCTTGTCAGGAAGACGGGAATGAAACGCCTACGCGCCGAAGAAACCTGCAGCTGCTTTAGCGAGTCTCGCGGCTTCAACATTTTGTTTCAGACGTCCATGAATGCGTCCGCGCTCGCGTTCAAGTCCCCATTCTTCCATTTCCTTGCCGGGGCATATATATGAGAGAGTTTTTCCGGGATGCCAAGTGGATCCATCTTCTTTCTTATTCCTCTTCCTCGTCGTTTTACTAAAAAAAAAAAAAAGAGCTCCTTGCGTTTCTATATAGACTCGTCCCGCAACAGTCAAATAGAGGACAGGAATGCCTTCAACGGCAGGAAATAATGATAATGCCGCAATAATAAAACAAAGGTAGGCGGTGACACGGAAAATGAGCGCCTGAAACCTTCGATCATCTCCTTTTCCTTCCATATTTTAATTCTTCAGATACAACTCTCGTCAAAAACATGCTATGCTGATCAGAAAAGATACTACACTATAGCAGAGTAGCACACTGACTCTCTGATTTGAATTACCCTGAGTTTGAATAAGAAAGTTTTGATGAAAATCTATGCGTCATATACTACGAATTCCTGCTGCATTTTCACCACTCTGTAAACTTGGAATGATTTCATGATCTATATAAAGTATAGTGGGACGTCCCCGAGATGCGGACGTAATTGATGCATGAACGTTGTCCCTAATTCGGAAAGTCTGCAATTCGGAACTCGTTTTCGCATAGCCTTCGATGGGAATATTTGTAATTGTTTCTCCTTTAGATCAATGATCAAGAACATTTCTAAAGATTAAAACCACACATATTTTGATCTTTTGGCAGAATAAGGAGCTTAAGAAGCAAATAAGAAGATGAACAAGTCTTGCTACACTGATCATATATACATGATGAAAAACATTGAAAAAGAAGTACAGAAGTAGCTGGTCTTCGGTTACGAATTAGAGTAATTTTATAATGGAATTGATTTTTAGTACAGTATTTGTGAATGTGAATTGCTCAATTTCTTTAAGAAATATGAAGATGTAGAAAAATTAAATTGTTACATTTTTTCCAGAAATTTTGAAAAAGTATCTCGAGTCACTGCCCGGATTTCGGGGCAGATTTTTTTTTTTTGTTCTAAGCATTCCTACGTCAAATCATTCGTAGTTCGGGGTGTCTGCATGTTGCGGTCCCACTGTACTTTATGGTACTAATTTATGGTACTAATCATGCTGATCTTGATCACTCACATTCTTGGGATTGTCCGTGACTTGTCAATTATATTCTATAGAAGACAGCCGATCATTATCCGAGTTAATTTAGGCTCCCCTGCACAGTAAACAAATTTTCCTCGCTAAATTAGGATCTTTTCCAGAAGAATCAAGCTCGCGAACTGCTCTTAGTAATCCGTCATTAAGATCGTAGTGTACGA